GGGTGGTCACTAGGCAGCCCTAGATGGTCCTACCCAGCCTTAGGTAGTAATCACTCCTAAAAGGCCCTACCCAGCCCTAGCTGGATGGTCTTAGCCAGCCCTAGGTGGTCGGTCCTAGAAGGTCCTAGGTGGTCCTACACAGGCCCTAGGTGGTCATCAGCCCTAGAAGTCCCTACCCAGCCCTAGGTGGATGGTCCTAGCCCAACCTACATGGTCCTAGCTGGTCTGGACCGAGGTCATCCTGCCCGTGAGACATCAGGAAGGAGTGGTTGGAGCTGGGCACCAGCCCCTGCCCCCCAAACTCAACATGGGGTCCAGCTGAGGTGCCACTTTCTCTCTCTCTGCAGGTGGTAGAGGCTCATAAGCAAGGTCTCAGACCAGCCGTTGGCTACGAGCTCAACCCCTGGCTGCTGTGTCTCTCCCACTACCGGGCCTGGAGGGCTGGCTACCACGGGGAGGTTTCCTTCCTGAAGGAAGATCTGTGGAAGGTAACAACCTCCTGAGGGTCTGGTTGTGCTCAGCACCGACCTTAGCAGGGCTAGGGCTTGGTGTGGATCTCCAGCCAGGCTTGGCTGCTGGTTGCTTCCTCCTTCTCCACCCCACGCTGCTCCCAGGAGGTGGAAAATCCATCCTCCTTTCCAAGGGAACACCAACCCGGGGCTGGCTGGTGGTTTTCAAGGTAGCAGGACAGCTTTGAGAAGAGGTCTTGGGTGCTGCTGACCTTCAGAGAGGTGCTGCTGAAGCTGGCATCAAGTTCCCACAGCCTGGCTGGAGAAAACCCAGCAGGGAAACGTGGTTCTGGGGTGATGCTGGAGGTGGGTGTTTCACAAGAGGTGCTGCTGTCACACCAAGACATCCTAGTCCCACGTCTTGGGGGGTATTTTTGGCTTCCTGCAAGGTTCAGGAGATCACGTGGGGAGGGGTTGAGCCACTTGAATGGTTCCTTGTGCTTCTTTTATTCCCCTTCTCCTTCTTTTTTAAGGTGGATCTTTCTGACTGCCACAACGTGATCGTGTTCCTGGCCCCCAGCGTGGTGAGTTGGTCCCTTGCACCCTGACTTCTTCTGAGTGTGCTCAGGGGAGGGTTTTATCAGAGCTCAGCTGGGTGGGTAGCAAAGACTCTTCAAAAAACAAAGCCAGCTGGGCAGCCTTGTGAGCAGTTGGGTGCTCAGCACCACTTGGAGTTACAGAATCACAGAGTCATGGAGTCCAACCACCCCCCAGCCCTGCCAGGTCCCCACTGCCCCGTGTCCCTCACCCCACATCTCCACAGCTTGGGAACCCCTCCAGGGGTGGGGACTCCACCACTGCCCTGGGCAGCCTGGCACAGCCCTGGGCAACCCTCCAGGGCAAGAAATTGTTCCCCAGGGACAACCTCAACCTCCCCTGGGGCAGCTTGAGGCCATTTCCTCTTGTCCTATCCCTTATTCCTGGTCCCATCCCTACATTTTGGAGGGGCCTGTGGTCGATGCTGCCAGCGTGGGACCCCCTGGCCATGCCCAGAAGGTGCCCTGTGGTCCCTGCTGGCATCTCCTCTACGTGACCACCTCCCTGGCTTCTCTGTCTCTCCCCAGAAGCCTCTCCTGGCCACCAAGCTGCTGGCAGAACTGCCTGATGGAGCCCGGGTGGTGGCCGGGCGCTTCCCCTTCCCCTCCTGGAGCCCCAGCAGCACCCTGGGGCAGGGGCTGGAGCAGGTCTGGGCCTATGACATGAGGGAGGTGCGACGAGCAGCACGGGGAGAAGCTGGGTCCACCCCCAACCCCGTGGAACCTTAACTGGGGGTCAGAGCCCCCCCCCAAGGCCTTGGGCTCAGCCCAGGAGGGCTGCTGGGCCAGGCTTGTTCCTGGGTGGCCAGTCCCTTGGCCTTCCAAAGAGTGGGGAGGTTGGGGGAAGCAAGGGAGGGGAAAATGAGACCTAGAAATTCTGAAATTACCAGAGGGTTTAAGGGCTAAGCTTCCAGTGCCTCTTTCTGCACGTTTGCTGCTTTATTTCTAGTTCATTTTTCAAAATAAACACGTGGTTGGTCCTTCCCTTGAGACTTTGGGTTCATCTTTGAGCCTCCTGGAGCCAGAGCAGCCACATCTCCCCACCTTCAGGCTTTGCTCCACCACCAGCCCCTCGGAGGTGGCTTGGGAGGGAGTTTGTCCAGCTCCCCTCACTGAAGGGTCAACTTTGGCCCTGCTGTCTTCTGGAACATTCCCTTCTCCACTCAGACACAGAGGGAAGAGGTTTTTCCACCCTAAAAGAGCAGCTCATCCCCTTTGTCTGAGCTCTTGGACCAGAGTGTAGCTTGGACCAGCCCTGACCTCCTCCAGCAGAAGGAAAGGCAGGAGCAGAGTTACCCCTTGGGCTCTGGTCTGGGTCTGACCCGGGAGAAATCTTTTTGCAGGATACTCTCCTGGGCCAGTCCACATCCTGGGAAGCTCCTTCCTTTAAAATCCTCCTCGTGCTGCTCCTCAGAGCCGTGGTGGAGCTAGGGGTCCTGGCTGACCATCCTCCTGGCCCTGGGCAGGGCACGGGTGCCCCCGGGGCCGCGTGGTCCCTGGCTGCCCACCAGCTTCTTCAGCCCCAGGATCTCCTGCTTGTACCTGCACCCGGGGAGCACAGCCACGTTGTCACAACCCCAAGGGGTCCCCCTCAACCTCCGTGGGGTTTGCTGTGTGCTGAGGACATGGGGAGGTGGTGAAGGAACCAGCCCAGCAAGGAGCTGTGCCAGGAACGGAGCCCCAGCAGGTACTGAGCACAGACTTCTGAGGAAGAGGAGTTTGGAGGCTCTGCCAGGTCATGGTACCAGCACCATGAGCTGTGGGGGTGCCCCAAGGGCAGGGACAGCAGTTGGGCCATCGCTCTGCCAGACAGGACCTGCTTGTTCTCCTGGTCTCCCACCTTCAGGGAGATAAAGCAGGGAGACAAACCAAGGGGACAGGACTGGAGCTGCTGGAAGCCTTGTGATTTCAGGCAACCCCTCTGTTGGCTGGGTGAGCACCTCCAGGAGGAGCCAGGGGGCTGGTGGCAGCTGCCTGCTCGGCGTGGGGGTGGGAAGGCAGCAGTGAGGTCACCTCGTGGTGGGCATGGCCATGTCATCGGGGGAGAGAAACTTGGAGGACAAAGCAGAGACCACGTGAAGCAGGATCCCAGCACCTCACCTGGTGAGGTGTTTATCTACATAGTCCTGCAGCTCCAACACCTGCTCTTCTGCCACGACTGCCCGGGTCAGCAGCTGGCTTCTCTCCTTCTCCAAATCCTCCTGGAGGGGCAAAGAAACACAGTCTGAGAACAGGGGGAGCCCTGTCAGATGGGGAGGGAAGAGGATGGGACCTCGGGGGATCACCTCCTCCAACCCCCTGCTCCAGCAGCTCACCCACAGCAGGGTGCCCAGGGTCACAGCCAGGAGGGTTTGGGATCTCTCCAGAGCAGGAGACTCCACAGCCTCTCTGGGCAGCCTTTTACTCCCAGTAGTTCCCCCCCCCAGAAGCTTCACAGACCACTGGCAGGGTGGTCACAAGATGTGGCCCTTGGGCACAACTTCCACACCTTGCCACTGGGAGTTTGTGGCCCTGCTCCCTGGGGCACAGCTCCAGCCTCTCAGCCCCAGCATCTCCCTTCTTTTGGCCACAAAGACCCACACAATTCACACAATTTAGGTGCTTAAAACATCTCTGGCACGTGGGTAAGGGATGAGCTTTTGTTGAAAGGAGCTGGTCTGGACCTTTACCTGGGTGGTGTGTGTGAACTCCTGGAGCTGCTTCCTGAGCTCTGCCCAGCCCTCCTCATCCAGCTGCCTAGGGGAGAGAAAGATTCTGGTGGTGCCCAGACATTCAAATCCAGCCCACCCACAGGTCCCACAGCTCTCTTCAAGGGCTGGACACAATTTGTGCCCCACCAGCCCGAAAGCTCCACTCTCCTGGTGCCCCAGACTTCTTCCAGGGCATGTGGTGCCATCCCTGCACCCAGGCGTGGCAGTCACAGCATGGGGGGGGTTGGAAGGGACCTCTGGGGATCATCTCCTCCAACCCCCCTGCTCCAGCAGCTCACCCACAGCAGGGTGCCCAGGGTCACAGCCAGGAGGGTTTGGGATCTCTCCAGAGCAGGAGACTCCACAGCCTCTCTGGGCAGCTGCTCCAGGCTCTGCACCCTCACCCCAAAGAAGTTTCTCCTCCTGCTCAGGTGGCACCTCCTGGGTTCCAGCTGGTGCCCGTTGCCCCTTGTCCTGTCCCTGGGCACCACTGACCAGAGTCTGGCCCCAGCCTCTTGCCCCCCAGGGCCCTTTAGCTCTTGCTCAGCACTCAGCAAATCCCCTCTGAGTCTTCTCTTCTCCAGCTGCACAGCCCCAGGGCTCTCAGCCTGTCCTGCACAGAGATGCTCCAGCCCCTCAGCATCTCTGTAGCCTCTGCTGGACTCTCTCCAGTAGCTCCTTGTCCCTCCTGAACTGGGGAGCCCAGAACTAGACCCAGTACTCCAGAGGTGGCCTCACTGGGGCAGAGCAGAGGGGGAGCAGAACCTCTTATGACCTGCTGGCCACACTCTTCCTCATGCCCCTTGTGCCCTGCCACAGCCTTTCTGCCAACCTGGGGCTCCCCACGGCCCCGGCTGGGTTTGCTCTGAGTTCACATCAACACCCACACACCAGAGGACTCCAGGGATAAACCCTTCACAGCACACAGAAGAGGAGCACTGGGAGCTTGTGGAGTCTCCTGGCAGCTAAAAAAACCAAGCTTAACAACAACGTGGCTAAAATTCAGGTGCTGGGCTTTCTGTGTCTTGCTCCTGTGGTGACTCTGCCCAATTTAATGCATCTATTCCAGGACTGCTGTGGGGAAAACGTGGCAGAGCCTGGATAAGGCTCAAGCTCTTCCCTGAGCCCTGTGGCTCAGGCACCAACCCACTCGTCAGGGCTGGCAGCTAGGAAATGAAATAACCCGACCTGTTTTCTAGGCTACCCCATTTTAAAAGGCTGAAAAACCCCAGCTCAGATGCCTCCTGGGCTTTGTTCCACCTCTCTCCAGCTCTAGTTGGTAGAGTTGCAACAGGAGAACGGAGCAGGGGGAAGAGACCCATCCAAAATGATCAGCTAAAGGGCTTGTACAGGGTCACCTCAGGGTTCCAGCCCAGCTTCTGCACTGGGAGGGAGGAGAAACAAGACCATCCCAAACTGGTGATGTTTCACAGGCTGGGCTCCACCACGGGGCTGGGGCGTGTGCTTAAGTTCAGCTTCTAAAGAGATCAGTGGGACTGAAAACACCATTAAATCGAGCATGGGCTTAAGAGCTTTCTTGGCTCAAGGCCCAACTGACCAAGTCAGCAGCTGGCTTTTCTCCTCCAGTGGCTTCCCATCAGCTCACTTTCCCCCTGCTTATTACCCCCTCTGAGTAAAGCAGCAAAAAAAACCCCCCTCCTCAAGCCCCCCCCCCCCTGCAAGCAAAGGGAATTCAGAATTGCAAAGATGCTGAGAAAGAATCAGCACTTACTGCTCAGGAGGCAGCGTGGAGGCAGAGCTTCCTTTTGGTCTTTTCTGAGGGCAAAGGAAGAAGAGTGTCCCTGTAAACCTCAAACCATCCCCTCACCACAGCCCCTGCCCCTTCCACGTGGCACAACATCTCCCAGCCCCCTGTGCCCTAGCAAGGAAGTGATCTGCAGTGAAGTCTTCCAGATTTAGGTCTCCCATCCTTTGATTTTTTTTATATAAATGCATCTTGGTGCAAATCAAAGACAGGTCTCTGCTCAGTGGGAGGACGTGGAGGTGCCCAGCATGTTCCTGGCT